TTGGAGAATAAAATGGGGGCAGGTCACAAAGATACTGACAAAGTGACCACAAGGTATCGTTTTAAGCAACACTAAAGTCAACCCGATGGAGCACATGCCAAGCGTAAGACAAGGAGTGAGGTGCAATTCTCTATGATTTTGGATAGTAGGTCGATTATCCAACTGGAGGAAGTATGAACTAAAGAAGAAAATCATGGGGAGAATGACGAGTTGGTCCGAAAGGAGCAAAATATAAAAGTGACAGTTAATGAAGTTGAATTATCAAGCAATCCTTCGACTTCGTTTATTGCTCTAGAATTGATTTTGTGATCAAGACCAATGAAGTTGCAGTTTTCATAATTAAGTTCAAGTCAGATGGTAAAAATCAATTTTGGTCAATAAATGAAAAATGGTACGAAGCGAATTGATAAGTCCTATTCAAAGTGCCTTAAATGAAAAGTCAAGCTTATAACTCTAAACAAACGCTTATTGGAAAACAACTCAATTTTTTGAACTCTATCCTTTTTATTTTTCAATTTTTTAGATCAAGACTAATTTTGATACTTTTAGGAATTTTAAAAAAAGTTAGCCTAAACTCCCGTGTCATTTCATACTTTCCTTGTGCAAGTGATCCTTTTGTAATTTTTTTTTCATCTCTTTTCAAGTTTAATGAAGATAATTCGAGTATCAAACAAAGAAGACTAAAACAAGATGTAGGGTCAAGAGTTAAAAGGAGATGATCATACTCTCTTCTTTGGTATTAGAGACATCAATTGATCACAATGGTTTGAGCTAGATCATCCCTAGCCTACTTAATTACATTCTTACATCTTTATATGAGTTAGGAAGTGAATTCTACATTGAAACCTCATTTGATCTACATTACTATCTCATTAAAATAAAAAATATGACAGTCATCCATCACATCAACATTTAAATTCAAATTTTTTATCTCTTGCTTGAACCTCAATAACGGTTATATTGTTCATTCTCATTCTATAATAATTTGACTTAAACAGGCCGGTCTTCATAAGCAAATTTATTATCATTATGAACTAAGCCCCTGTTTGATCCAAATTAAAATCTGATTTAATCATTTAATCCAAGTGAAAGTCAAGCAATCAATATTAATCACATCTTTTATGGGTCCCACAACTTTTCAACCATACATTTCAAAAATTTCTATAACAATCTACTAAAAATCTAATTTTAATCCCCACCAAACACCCTCTAATCTCTTAGCAATAATGCATAAATAACTTAAGTTTGAATCTAAATCTCTATCAGGTTCCATCATAAAACTAAATAATGTTTGCAGGACATATATGTTATTTGACAATGTTTTAGCTAAAAATAATTTATCTAGACTAGTCCTCTAGTCCTAGAGTTATCAACTTGTCTCAATATGTTGTTAGATAAGTGCAAAATAATAGATCTGTATGCAATTTCATTCATCTTAAGTAGATGTGTCAATCCGGGCGGGGCCGGGCGGGGCGGGGAGGGCGGGCCGCCAATATATGAGCCTGTTAACGGTCCGCGTGAAAAAAAACTCACCCGCTACGGGTTCCGGCAGGTTCCGAGTCGGCCCACAAATTTTGGACTACAACCCAGACCAGCCCGCTAACTCATTCGAGTCAAGCCTATACGGGTCCCGGTTCGCGGTGGGTCGCGGGTTATTCCAAGAATTTTTT